CCCCCACCCCCTTTCCCTTCCAGCCGCCACGTCTTCCATTTAGATTTAACCTTCGGCACGACTTAAGTCCTGCCCGAGCTCACGGTGCCCACCCTCGACTATCCCCGAGCTCTTGTTAATTTCCGGTTCGTTCACTTCCGGTGTAGCGTATCCGGCAAGAGTGCGCGTGGCAGTGGCTTCGACCCAGTGCGATTACGACAATCTCGAAAATCTCGACAATCTCGGATGCGCCATTTTATTCCTCAACGCAATTCCAGACCCAATCCCAACTTCGTAACTTGTACTGTGTACCAATGTACCATACACTTAGAATTAGATATATATATATATATATATATATAGTCGCAGTATGTACGCATTCGTATACAATTATACATATTGCACTTAATCGTAGTCCAGTACTCAAACCACAAAGTTCCGCCGACACTGGACACAGAATGGACCATTTTTACATTCGTCTTCAGGTCAAATGTGTACTTGACAAAGGGATCCACCTCGTGATCCTGATCTAGCTGTCGTAATTGGGATTGGCACTGTCATTGGGTCCAGGGGTTCGGAGGTAGCTGGAACAGGAAGCCGATCTGTCCCTCGTACAGTAGCGCGTTTCGCCAAAAAAATTGCGTAACGGGAGATCATAAAAAAAATAAGTAATCAAGACTCCAAAGTACTTCTTAAAGATAAAAATGAAAAGAAAGCCTTATCAGCTAGGTTACTATACCGATGAAACCCTTTAATAAGTTTCGTCTTAGGATAGAACAATCTTACGATTAGTTAGCAATCTAAAGATGTCGAATGAAATATCTCGAGAAATTAGGCAGTTGCGAGTCAGAGATTTCGTGGAGTCACTTTTAAAATCTCTTTAGCTCTTGAATTCTTCTTCCTGAATTATAACGCGAGAAACTTTTCCTCTTATCTCGTCACTTCGCGTTTTTGTAATTTTTTATCTTTTCTTTTAACAAATTTTTTATTCACTTCTTATCCTCTTACATACATGTATGTATACGTATCAAAGAGAGAAACGACGCTCGGCGTCGTTGTAACGTTATCAGTTATCACGCTAGACGCCCTAGTGTTTTTACGAATATTTAAAATTCTCAGCAATCGTTCCTTCGCGCTGGACGCGTCTCGCACGTGCGAATTCCTCTCTCTGAGCGGGGGGAGAGAGAGAGAGAGAGAGAGAGAGAGAGAGAGAGAGAGAATGGGAAAAAAGGAGGCGTCGGCGTGTGGGCTCTGACGCCTGGCGTCGACGCCTCTCACTCTGGAGCGCTCACGTGTCGCGCGCGACACCCTTAGCTTCGAAATACTTGACACATTCCAAAAGCAGCCCGTGTTACGCGTTGTGATTTTTGAGTGGCCTATACCCGAATAGCGATGCAACTTCGAAAGTTGCATTAAGCGTTAAGAGACGTCGCAAAGCGGGCCTCGGATCAAAGACAAATACACTATTCTGAAGGTACCTCAGTTAGCAATAGAAATAGGCCTAAGGCAGTGCTTTACGACGGCTCCCCTTTAGAGAGGAAAGCGGCACGAGGTCCGCAATTACATAATTACTAATGAGACAATGAGTAATTAATATATTTAGAGTAAGCATGCGAGTCATAATGGTAATTACGCGTACTTAGTGAGTTAATGAAAATGGGACGAAATCATCTAGGAATATTCGTATTTACATTGAAGACAGAGGGAATCCGTTGATCGATCGATCGGTATGGCATCCTATAGGATATGCTATTGAATCTCCTTAAAAAAAGACGAAGCCATTGATGCTTTTAATGATTTTGTATAATCGCCTGAATATCTCTTCTCTCTGGAATTGACAGGCGAGAAGGAAGGAGGGAGGGAGGGAGAGCGTGAGAGCGATTATAGATTTATATTAGAACACTCGCTAATGTAATTCTATATACACATTGTACTGTTCGTATGGAGCATCTCGATGAAGGCTTATATGTTAAAAAGTAGTCCGGCACTTGTTCCGAACTAGTCACTAATTTCGATGATCACTCGACCACCCTGCTTTCCCCGGCTTTCCCCGGCTTGCCGAGTTGTCACATTTCTTAACTTTCTCTTCTCCTCCTCCTCCTCCTCCATCGTTCTGCTCTCCGTCTTCCATTTTCTTCGGAAGCATTCACTGCGATTAGATAGGTTATGTGACAAGGATGTCGGTGTGGCCGACAACGTCCTCCGCGTAGCGCAGCACTGCAGAACATTCCGAACTTCCGAACTTCCGAACTTCCGAACGTGCACGGAACCCCCGATTCTCGGCATAACGCGGCAGAGCGCAGATCGTTTCTCTAATCGCGCGCGTTCACTCGTTTCTCCATGTTTTTCTATGCAGAAGCAGCCATGGAGTGTGACTCCATGTGCCACTTTCATTTTTGAGCTCTTTTTCGAAACGGGCTCAACTTCATAAATTAAGGTACTTTGTGGCGATTCACTCGTTTCCTTTGGCTTCAGGCGAGTCACACTCGTCTGGCAAGGGAATCGGAAGATCTTCTCTCGTAGCCTGGAGAGGGGTTGGTGCTCATTTTTACGAACGATACTGTTTGGAAAGTGGGATATTGCAAAAGTTTTGGCACGAGGAATGATCAGGACAGTGGTTGATTGGAACGGGAATAAGAGAAAATGACAAGTAGAGAGTAGAAGAGCGTCTTCGCACGGCACGATTAATTAAACGATGTAAATGCACATTTATTCTTAAAAATAGTGTGAACCAATAATGAGGTCGCTCAGTGAACTTGGTTTCGCATTTGAGTAAAATGATAAAATTCATGAGGCAAAATGAAGGAAGCGTAAACACCTCGTAAGTCAGTTGATCGAACGGTAACAGTTGATCTTGAAAATGTCAATTGAGCCACCGTAAGCGGTAAAATATGAAGAATCTCACGCGTCAGAATTTGAAATTCGGAGGAGGTGAAATTCGCAGCTCCTGTGTGAACGTGACTTAAATTCGATCGTTACAGCACCTACTTGGGCACGTAGTCTCCCAGTGCCGTATGCCCTATGAAACTAGGGAGTGATGCAATTAATACGGAGGTTCATTTTCGCGTTGATTCTTTTAAAAGAGCCCTTCTTCCCGTCCTACTGTTACACACGGGCTGACGGGCCTGTCGGCGACGGCGTGCTGTAAAACCGCTTTAACACCGTCCAGACATTAATTATTACGCAGTAATTGAGCGCGCCTTTGGAACTTTTCAGTTATTAACGTGGTTGGTAAGGTGGGGTCGGGGAAGGGACTCAAGGAAGTTCAAGTTCATAGGGGAGTGGTAGTTCCGGTTACGGTAGCGGTTAGTCTTGTTAAAAAGGAGTGAACGATGACGTGTGTGCCCAGGATGCCCGGGATGCCCGGGATGCCTTGGGGCACCGAGAGAAACGAGCGTCACCCAGAAAGTGGGTACTTGGACAAGAGGGGGTTGCTCTGGCACATGAGAAACTTTAGGCAGATAGGCAGGGTGTACAGAATTTTAGGAATTTTTTGAAAACTTGACATCGGTCCTGCAATTTTGTTAATTTACAAAAATAAATATTCCGTTAATTCACATTTGAAATGTCAATTTAAATACGAGCGATTCACGAGGTCGTGTATGCTCTTGTCAACCCTCTTGAAAATAGAATTATACGCAAGTGCAAGAAATCATTCTAAAAAAATTACGAATGAAATTCTCTATTTCGATAAAACTTCCCATTAATTCATGGACTCTGGGCTTGATTTATTATTTGCCATTGATGTAAATTTACGAGGAACTTTGATTCGTAGCAATTCACCCGCCTCCCTCTGCCTTCCCCTATCCGGCCCTCCGCCAATCAAAAACGAGAAAGCACTTACCAAACGCGCAGTTATTAACGCGCTTTCAACGATTCGCTCTGCCGCGAGGAGGGTTGCTCCTCTCTCTTTGCTATTGCGATCTCATTTTTACGTAGAGCTTGGCAGAGGGTAACGACGCCGACGACGCCGACGACGCCGACGACGCCGACGACGACTTTCAAAGGAACGAATCGCACCTCGGTAATTAAAATATTACTCAATTATTTATTGAGAACAATCCCAATGACAATGACAATGACAATGACAATGACAATGACAGAGGGAGTTACATTGAGACTGGTCCGGACGATCTTTCTACTTTCTACAGTCTCAGGGTTTTGTGCTACGACCCCTTTCGAACAGTTCCCGGTAACAGGCTACAGAGTGTGACAGGTGAAGCAGCAGGCCTCGTCTCTGGGCATTGTGCTGCCTGAGCGAGACAGTGGTTGCGCGCGTTAAGGGATCATACGCTCGGAGGAAGGGAGTTAACACGATGATAACGGATTAACCGGCTAACAAGTATTAATGTACTAAATAATATAATACGAGTTGCTTTCATGAATAATGCATAGCCGAAGGAACATCAGGACGTTGTAGTGGGATGCCCACTTCAGATCAGCCAGGCAAGAGAAAATTCAATCATAAGTGTCAAAGTTCAGTGTATGGAATCCCCCTTTAAAAGTCGTTCGTTGGCACTCCCTTCCACGTCACCTTCTCACTGACGCAATCCCCTTTATTAATTCTTCTTATCCAACCCCCAGGAGCATCAAGCCACTCAATATGTAACCCCCTAGTTATACCTATAGAATACATAAAAAACGGTGTAATTCCCACGTGTAGTCCACTAACGCGGTATTGATTCGCTACCCTGTATAATAACCTGCAGTTCGCAACCCCTTTTTCTCCCGATTTTCTCTGCTCGTCGATATATATATATATATATATATATATATATATATATTATTTGGGGTGGGGGGGGTGGATGAATCTTTTTGTAAATATACGTATGACTCACATACGCTTGTATAGTTTTGGAGAAACATCTTGTAGTCCCACAATTGTTTTCTATATGTGGATAAACTTAAGGCCCCTTTCCATTACCTGTAGATCTATTATTGCTCCAGTCTCCTAGTTATTCGCTTCCATTCGAACGATCGCTAAAGAGAATAGCGACGGTCTCTGTACATATCGATCATATGGAGTATAATATATAGTATATAAAGCAAGAGAGAAAGAGTACGTGCGAGTATTTTATTCCCATTAAATGACCCATTTCAGGTGTTACGTATCAGCTGGTACCGTTTTTGCAGTTGCGCGCTATGCAGTTGAAAATCGCTCCCATAATAAATCCTATTGATTTTCAGCCTTTATTGCAAACAGTTAATTCATTAGTTGCGAACGTAACCATAGGCATCGTAGAATAGGGAATGAGCATAGAACTGGAACTCGAGAGAATTTCTATTGCGTCCTTCGTATCTTCAATATTATCAATGTAGAATGATTTGTTCGTAGAAATTTTTCAGATTAGTGAACACGCGTGCTGCATCAATGATAAGAAAATCTTGGAGAAAACGAAAAGTTTTAATGGTAGGCGCCACTCGGGTCAATGAAGATCTTTCGCGCAAAGTAGGCTTTAGCTTTGTAAACCGGGATGAAAGAACATAGTTTTCCGTTGCCAGAAATTCTTTTGGCAATGATACTAAGGGTAGGGGATGAGCTCTAATACGAAACGGTGAGACGCCTTCTGCTCATTGCTGAACGGTTACCGAAGTCGAAGATGTGGTACTGAGGTGGCGTGTCTTGTCAGGCAGAAAAATAATTGAAAATCAAAATTTGAAAATAGTTCAACTGAGTTATGACTGTTGATAAAAAAAATTCAGCGCTCTTTACGCCATTTTTCCTGAGATATTATTGATTTCCAATGGATTATTCACTGCTGTCGAGCAGCTCTATCATCAGGGTTCAAATATCCGCGAAGCGCAGGGTAAAAGGTCGAGATTGAGGATGCAGGAAAAGGGTTAGCGTGTATAAGGATCGGGATTGGTAAATCTGAGCTTTGCCAATTAGATGGAAAAAAAGAGGGTCACTTCCATTAGAAGATGAGTTAGGTTAGCCGAGAGGTGGCTGGCGTGCAACAATGTAGTGTGTGCTTGTGGTGTGGATTTCAGCAGGCGTACAGTCAGTACATCCCGGCGACAAGGGCCCAAGTTTCGGGCCCTGGGGGCCAGACTGGGGTCGCCATGGACGGGACCTATCTCGTCGAGGCCTCATTTTAAGAAACCGATCGATATATGACTGATTGTGAGTCAAAAATCGCAGCCGCCTCGACTCGCGTCAAAAGCGATAAAACGATAACTACGCAAGGCCAAAGCACATGCGACGTCAACTAATCGAGATATCGAAAAACAAATCTAAAAAATAATACTGAATTACGAAAGCAATAGTGCAACAAAAAAAAAACGTGCGTAAAAGTACTCGAGCTGAAAATTGCTGCAATAATCACGGAACCGAGTTGAATGCGAGGCCAAGGCAAGGCGAATAAGCAAAATGAAAATTAAACACAAAACAAACAAATTGATACCAATATATTAATAAATTAAATAAATATAAAAAACAAAGCCAGACCGTTATCATAAAACGCACTAAGAAAAGTGCCGCGCCGTCTGAGCTGACCTCACTCAATCAATCAATTCTTCTATTTCCCTATTTCCGTGCCACCCGTTACTTGGTCTTTTGGTGGCGACGGTGACTACGCTCCTGGCGACAACGATGGCGATCTTGTGGCGATCATCTTCAATCCTGCTGATCCTGACGACAACGGTGGCTTCAACTCGTCGCGATCAACGATCGTCTCGCTTATCTACTACTACTACTACTACTATTACCACCGCTATTACCCCTTCTTCTACTACTACTGCTACTGCTACCACTACCGTCACCACCACCACGTCAACACGTAACATCTTCCGGAATGGACCTCATCTTCCCACATTTTTAAACGGACTTGTTGGATTCCCCGCCGCTTCCGCACGATCTCTCTGTGGCTGCTGCCTGCCTACCTGCCTACCTGCCTACCTGCCTACCTGCCTACCTGTCTGCCTACCTGTGATTACGTGGCTGCCTGGTCACCTGGTCACCTGGTCACCTGGTTATCAAACTACCTGGCTACCGTTTATATCTTGCTCTCGCTCTCGCACTCGTACACGCATTTGCGCTCTCACACTGTGCGCCTGTATTTCTTCCTTGCAATCGTCGTGCAACTTGCGTTGGTGCAACCGAGAAAATCCAATAAATCGTGCGCATTATGGACGAAACTGAAAATGTAAAACGCAAAAAAATGCAAAATTTCAAACGAAAAAACTATTCAACACGAACGCTCCGAATATGCAAAACGCCGCTATTGAAACGCCGGCTGCTGCGATCCGAATGGAAAATTGTCTCATGTGCATGTGGATTCGATGGACGGGGAAAAAACACGATATAAAAAATCCATGACCAAATTATTGAAAATGATATGGAACCAATCATCGCAGAGCTTGTCATATCAGCTCACCTCGAAGGAGAACAAGGATAGAGTGGTGCTCGTATACGGAGACCGTATACAAGTGCGGAAAAAGGTAAAGACGCCAGAGAAACACGCTAACGGAAACGACCAATCACGGACGTCGTCTTTCCTCTCCTTCCTTTCTCTTCTATGCTATTTCGCTCTTTGGTTCGATCTTTCTTCTCTCCTTCATCGTTTTCTCTAGTTCTTTTCTCTCTCTCTCTCTCTCTCTCTCTCTCTCTCTCTCTCTCTCTTTCTCTTCCTTTCTTTCTTTCTTTCTTTCTTCCTCTCCTGGTCCCTCCCTCTTCGAGCTTTCTTTTTTTCACTACTATACTTTTTGTATCCATTTATGTACGAGTATCCATTCTAGTATCGAGTATGGCTGCTGCGTGCGATACGCCGACATACATATAACATATATGTAGAAACGCGCCGCTTCCGTTCGCCTGCGCTTTATTCGTCCAGTGATTCTCGTATCTGAATGCAAATGGTCGCCATTGGTCAGTTCATGATCCTCATGCAGGTTCTGGCACAGATTTTCACGCATGAAAAAATCCTCGGGCAATGCATGAACAAGTCAAGAGTCTCTAATGTCCAATTCCATGATGTTGATCTCGTTTACCTATTTGGAGCCGAAAAAAATGAAAGACGATATCTCGGTCCGGAGCATCTTTACGCTTGTTATTTTTTGAACTACATATATTTGTATATGCACACAAATGGCGCTTGACAGGTTTCCTTCGTTTGCGTTATTTCGATGGCAACTGAAACCTGTGAAACTACTTTCCTTTATTCTCCCCTTTTATTTTTTGCCGTCGGGGCGTCAGGGCTCGACTCTGTCATAATAAATATGGCGCCCTACATACTGTTCTCTCTCTCTCTCTCTCTCTCACTCTCTCTCGCTCTTTCCCCTCCACCCTCTCCTCTCCTCTCCTCTCCACTCCTCTTCTATCGACTCCGATGATCTACAATCTCGGTTCAGTCTATCCTGGAATCCAGTCCCAGAACATGGCGCTTCTTCTTACTGGCTTCCAGGCTTTAGTGGCCGTTTGCGTATAGATCGCTTCCACCGTATATATTGTATATATACTACATGTACATATTACATACCCCTGTACATAAGTCGTAGCTGATTCTGTATCTGTATTTTAGATTACGTTAGTAGTAGCATAGTCTGTGCGTATAAATGATATTACGTTAAGTGTATTGGTTTGCTTTTTTTTTTACTGTACGGTAGCCTTAGAAATACTGTCGCTTTTCTTAAAAAGGTTAAAGGTTGCATGATAATTTGTCAAACTCTCCATAGCTCTATAAACAAATATATATATATATATATTCATGAATGTACATCCCTACCCTAGCTTACTTGTAGCATATGTATACACATACGGTTCTGTCTGTCTCTGCTTCTCTACTTGTTTCATCACTATTCACTTTTCTTGCTTTCTTTCGTTTCGTTTTCTCTTTTCTCAAATACAGGGTTCCGATATGACGCGAAGGGAAACTGATTCTATAAAATGTCTTTACAGTTTGGACTCTCACTCTTTGCCCAGAGTCTACGGGATCGCGTAAAAGCACAAGAGGAACACATGATTGGCATCTTAATAGAAATCGATCTGCGCTCAATATGATGTTCCGCGAGCTTCTTTAACTTTTCACCTTTTACCTCTTCCTGTGTCATTCGTCATTTTCGTGTTCTTCATTTTCCCAATCCAGACTATCCTGTCCTAATCTATTCGTCTCGGTTTCCAGTCCCACCACCACTCGTCGTCACGCCGACGACTGTATTTGTTAGACGGCAAGGATAAATCCTATCGCGTTCCGTAAACGTCATTCGGAATCTTGTTTCAAAATTTACCTAGTTTTCGCCATCTTTAGAGACGATCAAGTCCCAGGAAATTCAATGTCCGATATACCAATTGTTCCAGGACTTAAAGAAGCGCGGTTCCCACACCTGCGACATGCAGGCCCTACAGCCACTTCCGGTTCCTACAACCACCACCACCGCCACTACGCCTGCCATGGCTTCCGGTGGCCAGCCACCGCTTCCAGTTTCGGAGAGTGCTTGAATTGACCAATCACCAAACACCAATCACCAATCACCAATCACCAATCACCAATCCACTATGACATCCACCGTCCTCCTCTACTCGTTCGAATGAACAACGGCCGCGAAGTCTTGCTTACGGTGAGCTTCAAGAAACCATCTTAAAAAAGGTAGCTCTAATAAATACGTCAGTACCGGTCCAGTTCTTATCGATATAGCATTTCCTCTGTGTAATATACATAATACATATAATTCCCCTGATTGACTTGCCATTCGCATAAGTAGCGGCAAGTGGCACCGGTATACATGCATACACGTGTATCGTACTTATCGTACAGTCGCAGCACCTGATCATTTTGTCCTCGATATTCTAGGAACCTCCGATTGCTCCGTTGGGTGTTGCCTAATATTTTCTTTTTCTACTGGTTATCGTTATCGCACTCTAAGTCCAGCATGCTTCTCCGGCACGAGCTGCGGAACCGACTAGCTGAAGGAACAGCTTCGTATCGATTCGCTGGAATATCGCATCTTTATCCGACTGGGCCACCCAGTCATTCACTAGGGCAGCCAGTCACCAGTCACCAGTCACCAGTCACCAGTCGGCTTGTTCGGCACACGCTCTCTCAATTCTCCCTATTTTCTCTCATTTTCTCACGGTACTTGCTTTTCGTTCTTTCTTTCTTCTGTATTCCTTAGAATTCCCCTCCATTTATTTCACTCTCTAACGTGCAATCGCAATAATCTCGCTTGGCCATTGATTGAAAGAAAAAGACGAAGAACAAGAAGAAGAAGAAGAAGAAGAGAGAAAAATATGATTTCTCGATAAATGCTAAAGGTTGCAGAGAATGATTGAAAATTTAAAAGGAACATCACCTTAATCCTCTCACGCACTTCTGGTTTCATTAGTACTTTTACCTCGTCAATTTTTCTCACATTTTACGACCAGAGAGAGAGAGAGGGAGAGAGAGAGAGAGAGAGAGAGAGAGAGAGAGAGAGAGAGAGAGACTAACGAAACGAAGAAACGCGATGGAGCAGAACATGCTAATCTTTTTTTTTTTTAATAGCACGTTTTGAAAATTTACTAATCATGCTACTGAGAGAAAGATTATGGGAGACTGAGGGAAATGTCAGACAGACATAAATTACGAGAATAACGAGATGCAATCGAATCATGTTGATCGCACACTTTTTCTGTCTTGTTCTCACTGATAAAGGAAACGTCATTTTCTTTAAAATAACAAATTAACTTCAACCTGCTAGAATCGTAGCTATGAAAATTCAAATAACAGCGAATGGATGTTACGCTCAATGTTTTTCTACAAGTATAACCCGACGAATCATTTCACTTAATTGCTTACCTATCATAGCTACACGTGGACAAGGAATCATAAGAGTCTCATGACGGTTCCAGTTTGAAAGGAAGAGTGCGTTCCCAGTGTTTTCCGTCCTTCCGTCCTTCCGTCCTGAATAGGGAGAATCGTGCACGATTGGGAGCAAAGGCTTTCATTACGCGACAGCGGTGTGTTCCCGTGCCAAATGGCGCGAGCTTTGACGGGGTGCAGGAAGGAACGTAGAGGGGAACAGAGAGAGAGAGAGAGAGAGAGAGAGAGAGAGAGAGAGAGAGAGAGAGAGAGACTAACGAAACGAAGAAACGCGATGGAGCAGAACATGCTAATCTTTTTTTTTTTTAATAGCACGTTTTGAAAATTTACTAATCATGCTACTGAGAGAAAGATTATGGGAGACTGAGGGGGGAAAGACTCGCTAGAGAGGAACAATGTAGCTGAGATATCGATCAGAGCATCAGAGGCGAATGTTCTCTGGCTGCCATTGCTGGCTCCTTTTCTCTATTCTATTTTAACTGGCCTCCCCACCTCCCACGCCATTCGCTTCTTTTCGGCTTCTCTGAAACCAGCAACATAGTCAAGTCAAGTCGAGCTTTCGCAAAGGCAACTGCTCCCGCTGGTGGCACCATGAGCTATGAGCTATCAGCTGTGAGTCACGATCCACTACTTGTCGAGCACTTCCTCGGCTCTTTCTAATTCAGACACCCGCCATTGTTACTACAACTTCCCTTCCTTCCTTCCTTCCATTGATCCTCTCGTCTCCTTTGTTTGGTCTCTTTTTTTCCTTTTTTCCTTCTTCGGTTTACGATCGGCAGTTCGGGCATCGACGGCTCGAAAGATGAGAGTGAGACAAGCATGATCCGCAAACTCTGGGTTATGCAATGAGTTTCCTCTCGAAATCCCTGCAACGCTCCCCCTAAGCTCCTTGTGATTCTTTCTCTTTGATTGCATTTGCCTGCATGGCTGCACGAGCCCGCGAGCTTTCAGGCTCTTTGACTGGAGCATGGCCACACAGAGAGAGTCCAGTCCACCTGACCTCGATGATCTACGGTTTTCCTCACGTTAACCTATTTCGCAGCTACGTGGATCTAGATATGCATGAATGGCTAGAATGGCACGACAGGGCATGTGCATCCACGTTCCCCGCATCTTTGAGCCTGCGGCGGCACACAAGCCTGTCCTTTGAATATTGCACGTTTAACCGGTGCCACGTTAAAGCCACTCTTCTCCTGGATATCCGGCACTGCGTAACGAGACGCGCCTATGGTGCACACACGACGCTCCGCTCTTCTATATCAAGAGATGTACTTTATCTTCCTTCCAGTAAACACGAGTCAGAGCCATCGAGCCATCGAGCCATCGAGCCATCGAGCGCGCGCCAAGTATATGCCAAGTATATGCCAAGTATATCCGTGAGCTAGAAATGTCTCTAACTCATCGGGATCATTGAGGATACGACTATCCTCCTATATGAGCATTAACGGCAACCATACTCCGCTCCACGAAGACGACGACGTCTACGTTCCCTTGGCTTGGGAGATCGAACGATCGAACGATCGTACTTCTTTTGATAAGGCGACTGACTGAAGCACGCACAGAGTATAGAACCAGACCGGTTGATCGGAGAGATAACCAGAGACTTCGTGGAAGAGGAAAAGTCCCTGCGACGTCGCTGCTATCGGCTATTCCAAGACATTCTTCCAAGCAGCTTCAAGTGGACCCGAAGAAGATGACGAATTGCTAGCCCTGCTGCGAGTAGCCATACTCAAAGATGGCGATTGCTTCCTCGTCAGCTCCAGGAGGAAGAGTCATCGGTGCCATAAGTGAGCCTGCGTGATAAAGAGGATACGATGCTCGTCACGTCACGGGACCCCGTCAGGATGAGAATGGAGACTGAGGAGTGTTGCGCGCGTGTGCGTACCTCTTTCAGGACGAGGCGAGGGAGAGAGAGAGAGAGAGAGAGAGAGAGAGAGAGAGAGAGAGATGGACGATTCAATGACCTTAAATAATCTTTATATGGTATACTTAAGTAAGATGCCCTTGTTCTTTCATAACTTGCCGATGGCCGGGGTGAGGGGTCACCGGGCAAGTACGTAGTTGACGTAGTACGTACGCTAACTTTGAATCGAGAATTTAACGAGATAGAATGTTCTACGCGTCCACATGTAAGAGACAGAACAATTATTGTTATTACTATTATTACTATCATTATCATCACCTATTCTCTAACGTTCGTTTATTATGCCGAGTCACTCGAGCCTCCTATCATACAATTCTAAAGCGTTCCGAGAAACTCTTAATCAGAGCCGATGACTGGACGATCATCGTGCGACGAGAGTAGCAACTTTCGGAATTGCTCGAAAAAATATAGAATTTAGGTAGGCATAGGCGTTAAGCCATTTCTAATCTAGAATTGGTCGCTATAGGTAGGTGGGTAGACTGCCAAATTGCTGGATTATATTGCTGTCGTGTTTAATTTGCATTTGCCCGTAGTTTCATTTGCGTTATTGCTGATTCCTGTGTGTTGTAAGTTGTCCCGGAAAAGAAGGCCTCGCGGCAAAGATCACAGGAATCAGCAACGATCGCTCGAGAGACAATGCACCGAGTGCAACCTGTTGCTCGTCTCTCTGTTCGTCTGTTCGTCTGTTCGTCTGTTCGTTTGTTCGTTTGTTCGTTTTCTCTGGCAGATAAAGAGCTCCTGAAATCCAGGATTTCATTGAGGATTCTTCAAAGCTCCTGCCTTGCTCTCAGCAATAGTCTTTTTCTAATGATCTCTTGCTGATTTCCTGTCTCAGCTGTTCTTGGTGGTCTACTTGATTTAATTTTGACTTGACTTATCGCTGACAGCTGTCATCTTCAGACTTTAAAGACCTTATATTTGTTAGCATTGTTACGCGCCACTAATCTAGCAATGTTGCTGATTCTGTATCTGTCTATATGCCTATCTACTTACCCAACCTACCTATCACAATAATAGGCTAGCTCTGTCTCGGTGTCGTGTCATCGTAGTCCGTTAGCAACTTACGTTAATTCGTCCTAGTCCGAGCGGAACATATGAAAACGTCGAGGTCTTTCAGATTTACTGTACTGCCAATAATTACCCACGCGAGATGCGATTGCATGCGTATAAAAATACATAAATGCGTGTATCGTGTGCAGAGAGTGAAGAACTCGGCGCCACGGGTCGCTCTGCTCGGCCATCACTTTGTTGTTCTTGCCACGAGTTCAGTCTCGCATCTTTAATCTCGAGCAATTGCACTCGGTAGTTTCATAAAGAGAAAATAGTCAAGCGACAGAGAATTCATTCGAGGAGAGACAGAAAGAGTGGGGGAGAGAGAGAGAGAGAGAGAGAGGATAGGTAAAAAAATAATAAAATAAAAGACATTAAAATTTGACAGGATGTGTCGCAGCATCGAAAATCACCTTTAAATAGTAAATTCCGTTTCTCCTTTTCTATGCGAAGAACTAAGAAACCTGATCGATTCATTCGATAGTTTTTTTTATTCTTAAATTCTATTATGAGATATCCATCATGATAGTTTTTTTTTTTTTTTTCAATATACCGGTTCTCAGTATTGCTATTCATTCTTCGAATGATGCTTTGATTATACCGGATACACCTTGTCGATATTTATCATCCTCCTTCTCGGTCTCTACAACTGTATATCTTTTTTGTAAGCAGGATTTAAGCGTCCATACGTTGAACATAAGATGGGATTTTTGGGTCCAGCATCGGAGGAATCGGATGATCTTATTTCTGGACGGTTTGTATCGTTGTGCTTGATGGATTCGCAGGCACGAGCGCTCGCACAGGTACAGCATTTTAATGCAATCGTGTGCGTGCAGATACGCACCGTCAGATTCGATTCAATGAACTCGAGGTTGGTTGCGTGATGCATTTTCTGTAAAAAGAAATAGTGAAAAACAGGATCGATGCTCAGGCTGTTTTCTTTTGAGGATGCTCGCCGGGCCTTTTCTGATGCAGACTGGAGAAAGCATTAATGGTCCTTCCTCATTGCGTCCACAGTACTATGAAAGAGTCTGCGAAAACTTGTGACACTCTCTATTATCCTCATGCCAAATAATTTCAAGTCTTCAAGGAGTCTCTCGTTTCTTTTCACTCTGGCTGCTCGAGTTTACCTATTTTCAGATAAAATTCTTCGTAACGGATATTCGTGAGAGTAACTAGGTAACGTACGACGCGCACAGGAATCGTGGGCCTTGATAAATGGAATAGGGAATATTGTCAAATCGATAAATGTCTTGTTGCTCGAGGTGCATCTACATGTGAATGCAATTAATTATACGTGAATACGTGACACATGCAATGGAGGAGCAACACGGAAGCCAGGCAGGTGCGAACCTAGATGGGCGTGTCGGGATTGAATATCCCGCGGGGCATCCTCACGAGAGAGAAGTCAAATAACAACTATAACGACTTTCCTCGCAGTAGATTTGGAATTAAGAATACAGAACGAAAGGAGCAGAAGGAAAGGGAAAAGGCAGGGAGAACGAAGGGGAAAAAGTAAAAACCTAACGAGTGCCGCGTATGTTTCAGCGACTCCGGGTGAAGGTCCGAGGTTACGTCAATTGCGTCAGATTCCATTTCGGATTTAGAAGAGGCGCACCTTTAGCCTTAAGTTTTTTCCAGCTCTCAACTGAGTCAAGGGGCTTCTTTATTCAGGACGATACTTACAATGTGGATTGAACTTCATCGCCATCTACCGTTAGGAGGGAGGACAAAGGTTTAAGGGTAGAATCATCGCTTTGAAGGGGAACTTGCAAGGGATCTACCGAAGGACGGTGTCGGTGGAAACACCTTACCGAATTGAATGAAACCGTTTCGTCTGCCGTCTATTGGCAGTAAATAAACTATAATTGCCTGATCAGCTGCATTCTTGTTTAAAGAAAAAGTAACGAGAATTCGAGAAGAAAATTACGAAAGAGTGATGTGCAACGTTATCAAGATATAAATCGTTTGTCTTTCAACCGACACCAGTCTCGCCTACATTTCGACCACGCGCCGTCCACTGCTTATTAACTGTCATACAGAACTTTTGTGAACGCGCCTTAATGCTCTCGCGCACTCCGTCTCTTTCTCGTTGCCATTTCCCTCAGCTGATCTATGACTACCCCCCCCCCCCCCCCCCCCCCCC